GCTCATCGTTCCAGCCTGTCCAGATCCCTCTGCAGGGCTCTCCTACCCTCCAGCAGATCAACACTTCCACCCATCTTAGTGTCATCTGCAAACTGTCTGAGGGTGCACTCAGTCCCCTCGTCCAGGCCATTGATAAAGATGTTAAACTGCATATGAATATTCTGTTTGGAAATCAATAGGTGATCTAGTTTTGGGGTTTTTATTTCTCATGCTTCGTAGTTCTTCTGTATGAAAGTGAATTCTAAGCATAGGATATATGCTCCCCTTCAGTTGCAGCTGAATAACTGGGGGGGTTGTTGCATAATTTTGTAATAATGTATGCTGGTATATAACTGAGGGCTTACTAGAACCAATTCGTACAACTTAGCAGCAGGCCTGCATTTTGGTTAATTTTTTTAATTATAATCCAAATCTTATCCTGTTTTTATTCAGGTGTTTGTTATGTTTTCTAATCATGAAAATGTATTAGTCTGCTTTACTGAAGATTTTGATATGCAGGAGGTTTTTAGAGATGTGATTAGGCTTTTCATTTTCTTTTCTTTTTTTAACAAAATTGTAGTTTATATTTCATGCATGTTTCACATAAACTGAGTTCTAATAGTAAGTAATGTTCTTAACATATCTTCTGTCATATTTTTCTTACTGTGATCATTACATTTGTTTTCAGACTCACTTACTTCAGTGACAGCTGTGAATTTGCTTACCGATCAGGAGATTCCTGTAGTCATCTCCGCAAAAAACCATTTTGAGAATTTTCTTGATACTAAAATAGGTATGTGACATTTAATGTGGAAGTGGAATAGTATAGTTTTCAATAGTTGTGTTGGAGCACAAGATGCTGTTGGGGTAAATCTTTGAACACAGTGGCTCTCTTCTGGACTTTGGAACTTTGTTTTTCATTCCTGTTCTTCCTTAGTGAAGGAGGAAGGGAAAAGTAGCTGTGTAGAACCTGTCTGGGGGAAGAAATTTACAGGATTATAAATTTTAATGGAAATATTATAAAATCAGTACGTTCAATGAACTAAATTTGAAGATATGCATATCTTAAGAGGATTCATTACGTACAGTGCATGTGTATTTGTCTGTCTCTCACCATCCTTAATCAAAACAGGACTGTACCATTGTTTCACAAATATTTTGCAAACAACCTAAACTTTTACCTTTTTTTTCTAATTTGTGTTTACATAAATTATGTGCATCCTTAGGGAGAAATGTTTCAGACAGCGAATGTACAGACCTTCCAAATTTTTCTTTTATCTGGTAATATTTGTGTTGAGATCAGTAAAATCATTCAGAATAGATAATAATTGCTGTTCAGGTAGACTTGGACAGTTATCTTAGATCCTTTAAAGGAAGCATTCCCATATCTTAAGGCACCTAACAGGATTGAGGCTTCGTACACGGATGGGGAAGGGCATTGCTAGAGAATACTCTGAATCGCCTGGAATGGGCTTCTGCTCTCTCAGTCGTCCTGTGAATCATAGAATCATAGAATGGTTTGGGTTGGAAGGGACCTTAAAGACCATCTGGTTCCAACCCCCCTGCCATGGGCAGGGACACCTTGCACTAGACCAGGTTGCTCGAAGCCTCATCCAGCCTGGCCTTGAACACTTCCAGGGATGCGGCATCCACAGCTTCTCTGGGCAACCTGTGCCAGTGCCTCACCACCCTCTCCGGGAAGAATGTCTTCCTGATATCTAATCTAAACCTCCCGGTTTTCAATTTGTACCCATTACGCCTTGTCCTATCACTACAGGCTCTTGTAAAAAGTCCTCTCCCAGCACCCTTGAAGCAGCCTGTCTTACTCCTTTCCTGCACAGAGAGCCTAGCCCCACAGTTTAGGCACCCAAGTACATATGGTTAGATGATGTGATGGTCCTTATCAGTAAAATCAGAAATTGTGCTAACTTTTAAAAATGGTGTCTGTTTAAATCTGCACCCACCGAGCTTTTGCTTACTGTTGTGTTTTGCTGCGGTCTCGTCTCAGCTGCACTTAGCAGGCAGTGTTCTGTGCCAGTCCTAACAGGAAATAGTTCTCTCTTCTTCCCCCTTTCCACTACCTTCCTTATCCTTTAACTCCCTTCTGTTGCCTCCCTCTTGCTGATACTTCTTTCCTGCCCTGGAGCTGCTACTCTCTTTCCCACGCCACTGCCAATACTGGCTGTTCCTGCCCAACAACTGGACTGAAAAAAAAACAGCTGACGGTGCAAAAATGTCTTGGAGGTCCCTCACAAGGCTGATGGAAATTATCCTCTTGGGCTGTATACCTTATTTATAACATGCCCACATCTTACACTTCAGAGAACCAGAACCTTCCCTTGTGTAAGAGAAGCCAAAAAATTTAGATACCTAATCTTGTTTTTCGTTAACAGCTTCCAGCTTGCTCGCTGGCACATACCTTGGTCTTACGTCTGTTGGAAACAGCCCAGCTCTGCCTGGGAAGTCTGGGTGCCAGCTGTTGGGCTTCGCACATGTACGTTAATCTTTTCAAAAGGAGGAAGATGTAAAAGCGGGGACCCGCTTTCTTCCATCTGCAGAGCATATTGTGAGGTCACCTGTTGCAGGCTGCAGGGCTCTTTGACAAATTAAGATACATACATTATTCTGTAATAAGGCCTTGAAGTGGCAGGAGCGTACATCTGCTGGAAAGATAAAACAGCAATTCTGTATTTTGCTAGTTAAGGAGTTATTTGTCACAGGGGAGTTTTGCTTGTTTTTCTTTAGTTATCTGCTCCCAAACTTCCATATATTGACAGTTAACATACAGCAGGCATTTCATTGCCTGAACAAAGATGAATGTTAAATTGCTTTTGAACGAAGTACTTTGTGTGTTAAATAACCAGAATGTGCTCAGCAATATTTGGAAGGTTTTTGTCTGTAGTTTTCACCAACTTAATGTTGGCTTTGGCTTGTCGGAATAAGTTTCTTTGCCTTTTAAAGGTGATGGCAACCGTGCAAGATCGTTCCAACTATTAAACTGTTGCTGAAAGAAAAAAGTATGCAGAAGGATGTATCTCTCCATGGAAATAATAAATCTGTTAGTATATCAGTGTTACTTCAGAATGCTTGTGATAATAAAGTTAAGAAATTTCTTAACTCACCCTGAAAGGTAGTTCTACAAAGTAGAGCTAAGACTGTCTCAATAAGATGCCAAGGGAAGGATGCTGAACAGCAGTAGGAAGTACTCTCAGTAGTTACATTCTGAATAGAAAATTGATGTTATTTTAATTGGTTTTCTGAGATTATAGACAAATAATTTCTTGTGTAAGAGAAGCCATAATAAGCTAAAGGGATAGTGATGTTAGAGACGGTTGTATTGCAGTACTTTTTAATAAACTATGAAATTAGAAACAGACTTAATTTACTATTGAAACAAGAGGACTATTTCATCTGTTTGGTTTGTATTTGTTTCTCATATTAGCAAATAGAATTAAAATTTGTATTATTGAAATACGTTATATTTAGATAATATAACTGTATTGAAAATTTTATTATTCATCCAGATTTTGTAGCTTTATTTTAAGGTTTTTTTCATAATCATCTGATTTTCAGCCTTTTCTGAGGTAGGACATTGATGAACATTTGGATTACAGAGAGAATGAGAAAATGTGTTTGTAATTATTGCTGCTTGAATGTCACTGCTTAAATGACATGAAAACTTTTTTATTGTTCTTAGATTCTTAACCTCTTATGGGCAAACATAAGTCATTATAAAGTGAGTGTCATAGAAGTGAAATGTTTTATCCTCAAACTGTTGACTGATATCCATGTTAGTCAGTCCCAGAACTGATTTATTTTTTCTCTCCCCCTAGGAATTCCTAGTACTAGTGCAGAAGATGCTGCAGTAGCTAAGAATCTGGGCATTTCTTTCACTGAAGTCATTGAGACATTGCCAGATGGTCTGGAGAAGGTCATTAATTCTGCAGAGGTGGGTATACAAGTATGGAGTTCTTTCCAGTTTACAATAATAATGCAAAGTAAATCTGTTTTCTCAAGGGTGTCAAATACTTTGTATGATTAAAGGATTTTTTTTTTTTTTAAATATCAAGCCAGGCTTATGCTACCAAATTTCTAGGAACAATTTAATGATGAAATATATTGACTCTTCTGTAACAAGTAAAATGAGTTTTTTTCATTTATTACATGAGAAGAAGGTACAGTATTGGTCTGAGCTGTAGAATACAAACTGAAAAATTAAATCTGTGTTAAAAGTTGATTCTTATTTCATCATCTCAATAGATTTTTAAGGTAAATATTAACATATTAGTCCTCTTTCCATGTGTTCACTGAAATCTGGTGTATGCCTTTACGGTAATATTTCTGCCTGGATTGACATAGAAATCTTAACTTCAAATAAGATATATATAGGGTTATAGCTCTTGAAAAAATGCATTTGATCGCAGGCACAAAGCTCATATTTTGTTACGTGACAGGTAGGGTCTAAGTGGTTAAGATGTATGTGAAAGCAAGAATAGAAAACCCAAAATGAACAGAGAAGAAAGCAAGCTGGTTTACCATTCACATTTCCTCAGCCTCTACCTTGTGTCACTCATATTCTGGATCATAAAATCACAGAATGTTTTGG